GACATACACACACACACACACATATAGGCACACTCTTACCAAAAAAAACTATTTTATCATCTGTCAAACCAACTGGTCTCACTGACAAAGAGACTGTGCGCTGGCTTAAAGAAAAATCTAGTTTTAACTGGAAGTTTGAATGGTGTACTTTATCCTTCTCTCTATCACGTCTTCCCACGTCTCCAGACGATACACCCAGCAGCCAATCAGAGAGTGGTCGCCACGAGGTACACAGTGGAACTAATCGATTGATAGCTTCATAGATTGATAGATTTTATTGGATATTAGTAAATGTAGGCCGCGCAAATCAATGGTAAACGATGGATTGATTTCATCACCTCGCAGGCTGATGAGAATGGCTTGATGAAGTTTTTTCTCAGTCAATGTAAATTTATTGATCAGGGTCAAAGTTCATAAAATGTGGTTATATATATAGCAGGCATGCAATGAACTTGTTGTTGACTCCCAACTCCCAGAGTGTTGGCTCGTCATCTGTGACTTATTATCTTATCCTTGTGGTGAGAGTAAACTCAGGCCTTCTTACATTACCACACTCCCCTTCCCATATCTACTCACCCACAACCCCACACAACCACACACACTGTACGACAGCGGCATCACTCAGTATCTCACGATACGACTGCACTGTTAGACTGACATGACGGGCAGACAGCTTAGATCACGATTTGTCGTGGCAGTGAACACGTGATCTAGCAGTCACCAATCGCTGTATCGTTTGGCGGCATACACGAACAGCTGTAGGCAAAGTTTACTGACACCAACAGCCACCCCAGTGAAAATATTTCTAGGACCTGTTTTAGGACGCTACATCTTGTATCAGCCGCTCGCTATAGGCGGGGTCTGCTGGTCTCACGTCAGATGTTCAGTCACATCCGACAAATCCGTCCTCGACAAAATGATCCAGTCAAAATAGCCCCGACATACTGGCTCCCGTCAAACTGACTCGCGACATATAGGCACAGGATAAATGGGCGCAGGATAAATGGGCTCCGACATATTGGCTCCAGACAAATAAATCGTATGACAACTTTTGGCATAAGCGTAACCATTTAATCCAGTCCACCAACGACACGCAGAACCTACCTACACTACCACCATGATCTCTTTTAAATGCCTGAATGAAAAACTTCAGGAACCAATAGCAATAAATAAACAAACCGAGGTATTATTAACCGCAGGTTAAGATCTGTTGCTTAAAAACGAGAATACAAGTTTAATGTGTGATAGACATGATGTTTAGAGGATATACGAAGTTTTGTTTTGATAATTTCAAATACATACTATTTCTGAGACACAATAATGTAAAAATAAGGCCTGCCGACATATAACTACATACATTGTATTATTTAAAGGTGTTGGCTAAGCTAACTCTGAAGATGAAGTGGTTGTAATGGAAGGGTCATGTTCAATGAGACCATTTCGCCGGTAGACTATTCATGTACGTGAACCCTAGTGACAGGAGCGTTTTCGTTGGGAGTACTAATGATTGAAGCCCTTTTGTCGAAAGCTAAAACGACTGGAGCCTATAGGTGTGAAGTAAAGACGGGAGCCGTTTTGTCGGGAGCCAATATGACGGAGTCAATTTAACTGTGGCCCTTTTGTGGGCTGTTTTGTCGGGACCATTTTGTCGGAACCATTTTGTCGGGACCATTTTGTCGGGACCATTTTGTCGGGACCATTTTGTCGGGCCGTTTTGTCACAGCACGTATTTCATGCTGGAGTTGATTGTAGTGTTTGACATTTCTTTGCCAAATTGTGGCCAGTTTGACAATATCTGGTCAGGTTGTTGAGAATTTGATTTTTTCTGGCCAAGTTTATCTAATAATCCTGAAACTCTGACGAATATACTTGTATTCAGAATGGAATGATTTATTCAAACTTGACGTCCTGTGGAGCAGCAATGTTTTCAGTTGTGTGGGCGACAACGTATTAAAACAGCGTCCTGTCCCCCACTCAGTCCGTCTGTACGAGCGACCCTCAGATCACAATCATCTTCCACATAGCCATCCCGTGCAGCTAACCAGATACAATCTTAAACAAGTTGACCTTTTGACCTCTTTACTTCATTTTCTGGGACTTGATAAGCGTTTGAAGAGATGGGCAGATGGGCAGAAATCTTATTGCTGAGAGGGGGCGCAGGTGTCGGGTAGATAATGTCCGAGAATCTAAATTTAGATCCAGGGGTCCATCTTAACTAGAAGAAATATCCGGACAGAAAAGGTGATGTTAAGGCAGCTAAAATAAATGTCCGGAAAGCTACGAATATGTTTGGACAGCTAATATAAATGGGCAGACAGCTAAGGCAATATCCGTGTAACTAACTGTATTGGCAGCGAGATTATCAATGTCTACCATACAACGTGATGGCAAATTTTCAGGTTCTTATTTCAAAGACATTTCATGCCATGTTTTAAGTTTAAAATAGAACGTAAAGAAAAATAATTTAGACAAGTACATTTTAACAAAACCGTGGATAATGGGCAAAACTGTCCATCAAGATTATATAAGCAACTGATGGTAAGTGAAGGGGTTTGGAACTTCTCCAGATTTTTCCTATTGGTGCCTATATGTGTTGGCAAATATTCCAGTGCATAGAGGTGTAACAAGCGTCACAGCTAGATGTAAACTAATGTAAAGTAGGCCTAGTTTCAAGCCAAACGCGGAGTAAAAGGGGTCAAATCAATTGAAAAAATTCAGTCGGTTTGGTTTACAAAAGCCCGTCAATTCTCTGAGCATTCAACTCAGCGGTAATAGCAGCTAAACAGTTTCAACACACATACCTAAACCTAAACCAACACACATACCTAGACCTAAACCAACACACATACCTAGACCTATACCATAACATTATTAGACCTATATCAACACATAGTTAGACCTATACCAAAACACATACCTAGACCTCTACAACACATATACCTAGACCTATACCAAAACATTCTTAGACCTATATCAACACATACCTAGACCTATACCAACACATAGTTAGACCTATATCAACACACACATACCTAGATCTCTACAACACACATACCTAGACCTATACCAAAACATTCTTAGACCTATATCAACACATAGTTAGACCTATACCAACACACATACCTAGACCTCAACAACACGCATACTTAGACCTATATAAACACACACAGACCTACACTAACAAACATACCTAGACACAACACACATACATAGATACAACAACACACAGACATACACAAACCAACAAACCCTATACAGCTCATTCTAAGCATGCGTCAAGATTTCGTCCACTCCATACAACCGGTTAAAACTACACTCAATCAGATCGTCCTTAATTACAGGACATGATTTAATATATCCAATACTTAATTAAATTGTCCCTATAGAGCATCTAATTAACTATATCAAATGCCCAATTAAATTGTCCCTATAGAGAATCAAATTAATTATATCAGATATCTAATTAAATTTTCTAAAATTACAAAACATTTGATTTATCATATCAAATATCACGTGACCATATCGCAAACCTTAAAAAAATCAAATCAACAAAATTTGTTTTTAGTTGATTCCTTTTTAGGCTTATTTGAATTTTAACTTGTATTTACCAAAGTTGTTTACAATTGGCTAGACATGAACTTGATGAAGTTATTTGAAGTGAGACATGAACATAAGTAGGTTATTTGAAGTGAGACATGAACATAAGAAAGTTATTTGAAGTGAGAAATGAACTTGATGAAGCTTTTTGAAGTTAGACATGAACTTGAAGTTATTTGAAGTGAGACATGAGGTATTTATTTGAAGTGAGACATAAACATGAGGAAGTTATTTGAAGTGAGACATAAACATGAGGAAGTTATTTTAAGTGAGACATGAACATAAGGAAGTTATTTGAAGTGAGACATGAAGTTATTTGAAGTGAGACATGAACATAAGGAAGTTATTTGAAGTGAGACATGAAGTTATTTGAAGTGAGACATGAACATAAGGAAGTTATTTGAAGTGAGACATGAAGTTATTTGAAGTGAGACATGAACATAAGGAAGTTATTTGAAGTGAGACATGAAGTTATTTGAAGTGAGACATGAAAATAAGGAAGTTATTTGAAGTGAGACATGAACATGAGGAAGTTATTTGAAGCGAGACATAAACATAAGGAAGTTATTTGAAGTGAGACATGAAGTTATTTGAAGTGAGACATGAACATAAGGAAGTAATTTGAAGTGAGACATGAACATGACGAAGTTATTTGAAGTGAGACATGAACATAAGGAAGTTATTTGAAGTGAGACATGAAGTTATTTGAAGTGAGACATGAACATAAGGAAGTTATTTGAAGTGAGACATGAACATGACGAAGTTATTTGAAGTGAGACATGAACATGAGGAAGTTATTTGAAGTGAGACATGAACATGTGGAAGTTATTTGAAGTGAGACATGAATGTAAGGAAATCATTTGAAGTGAGACATGAATGTAAGGAAATCATTTGAAGTGAGACATAAAGTTATTTGAAGTGAGACATGAATGTAAGGAAATCATTTGAAGTGAGACATGAAGTTATTTGAAGTGAGACATGAATGTAAGGAAATCATTTGAAGTGAGACATGAAGTTATTTGAAGTGAGACATGAATGTAAGGAAGTTATTTGAAGTGAGACATGAATGTAAGGAAGTTATTTGAAGTGAGACATGAATGTAAGGAAATCATTTGAAGTGAGACATGAATGTAAGGAAATCATTTGAAGTGAGACATGAAGTTATTTGAAGTGAGACATGAATGTAAGGAAATCATTTGAAGTGAGACATGAAGTTATTTGAAGTGAGACATGAATGTAAGGAAATCATTTGAAGTGAGACATGAAGTTATTTGAAGTGAGACATGAATGTAAGGAAGTTATTTGAAGTGAGACATGAATGTAAGGAAGTTATTTGAAGTGAGACATGAATGTAAGGAAATCATTTGAAGTGAGACACGAGAAAACAGTTTGAAGGCACTGACCTGAATAGAACCGGACCAGAAATGCCAGATCCTCCTTTGGCCCCGCCTCCTGTATGTACCTGATGTCTCTGTAGCCGAGTCCAGCCAGGTAATCGTTCTGGTCAGCAGGGAGAGGAATTCATTGGGATCATTTGTTTTTTTAAATCATGCGTCATAGTTACACTAGATTTTTTGCTGATTGCCACAATGTATCATTCTACGGCCCAACTCCCCACCCCACCCACTATTTGAACCATCTCACAGATTAAAAAGAAACTTTAAAATGTAAAATATCAGGAACGATCTGTTTTAAAAATAGTGCAGTCTCTTTGATGATTGTAATGTGTTCGATATTGCCTGAACTAGCTCGGGATTATTTAGATACCATCAAACTTGCTGATCATGTTGGAATTATTTAGATATCATCAAACTTGCTGATAATGTTGGAATTATTTAGATACCATCAAACTTGCTGATAATGTTGGAATTATTTAGATTCCATCAAACTTGCTGATAATGTTGGAATTATTTAGATACCATCAAACTTGCTGATAATGTTGGAATTATTTAGATATCATTAAACTTGCTGATAATGTTGGAATTATTTAGATACCATCAAACTTGCTGATAATGTTGGAATTATTTAGATACCATCAAACTTGCTGATAATGTTGGAATTATTTAGATATCATCAAACTTGCTGATAATGTTGGAATTATTTAGATACCATCAAACTTGCTGATATTGTTGGAATTATTTAGATACCATCAAACTTCCTTATAGCCTAGAAATTACTTGATATCACTAAACTTGCTGATAATGTTGGAATAACATAGAAACATAAGCACCAAACAAGCCGACTAGATAACATAACAGAGAGGTAGTTACACCATTATTCGTACCTGAATAGCCAATGGACAGTCAACTGGTTCCATCCGTCGAATGACGTCACCGCTCAACTGGACGTGCAGGGAGTTGCCCGGGATGGCCAGCTGCAGGCATATCTTCTGGGCGGGGGTCGTCACGGTGCAGGGGAACAGGCGGGCGTGGGGGTCGGTGTCTGAGGTGAACACACGGATAAACCTGGGGGACAGAGGCCAGTCATAATGGTGGCGTCAGACAACTGGTCAGTACTGGTCAGTTATGGTGGTGGTGTCAGACAGTGCTGGTCAGTCATAATCGTGGCGTCAGACAGTACTGGTCAGTCATAATGGCGGCGTCAGACAACTGGTCAGTACTGGTCAGTCATGGTGGCGGCGTCAGACAGTACTGGTCAGTCATGGTGGCGGCGTCAGACAACTGGTCAGTACTGGTCAGTCATGGTGGCGGCGTCAGACAGTACTGGTCAGTCATGGTGGCGGCGTCAGACAGTACTGGTCAGTCATGGTGGTGGCGTCAGACAACTGGTCAGTACTGGTCAGTCATGGTGGCGGCGTCAGACAGTACTGGTCAGTCATGGTGGCGGCGTCAGACAACTGGTCAGTACTGGTCAGTCATGGTGGCGGCGTCAGACAGTACTGGTCAGTCATGGTGGCGGCGTCAGACAGTACTGGTCAGTCATGGTGGTGGCGTCAGACAACTGGTCAGTACTGGTCAGTCATGGTGGCGGCGTCAGACAGTACTGGTCAGTCATGGTGGCGGCGTCAGACAGTACTGGTCAGTCATGGTGGCGGCGTCAGACAGTGCTGGTCAGTCATAATCGTGGCGTCAGTCAGTACTGGTCAGTCATGGTGGTGGCGTCAGACAACTGGTCAGTACTGGTCAGTCATGGTGGTGGCGTCAGACAACTGGTCAGTACTGGTCAGTCATGGTGGCGGCGTCAGACAGTACTGGTCAGTCATGGTGGCGGCGTCAGACAGTACTGGTCAGTCATGGTGGTGGCGTCAGACAACTGGTCAGTACTGGTCAGTCATGGTGGTGGCGTCAGACAGTACTGGTCAGTCATGGTGGCGGCGTCAGACAGTACTGGTCAGTCATGGTGGTGGCGTCAGACAACAGTGGTCAGTACTGGTCAGTCATGGTGGTGGCGTCAGACAACTGGTCAGTACTGGTCAGTCATGGTGGCGGCGTCAGACAGTACTGGTCAGTCATGGTGGCGGCGTCAGACAGTACTGGTCAGTCATGGTGGTGGCGTCAGACAACTGGTCAGTACTGGTCAGTCATGGTGGCGGCGTCAGACAGTACTGGTCAGTCATGGTGGCGGCGTCAGACAGTACTGGTCAGTCATGGTGGTGGCGTCAGACAGTACTGGTCAGTCATGGTGGCGGCGTCAGACAAATGGTCAATACTGGTCAGTCATGGTGGCGGCGTCAGACAGTACTGGTCAGTCATAATGGTGGCGTCAGACAACAGTGGTCAGTACTAGCCATTCAGTACGTCTGAGAGCTTTTATCTCATTATATTTGGCTGGCTTTTCACGAGATTTGGGTGGCATATCACGAGATTTGGCTGGCATCTCATGAAACTTAGCTGACATATCACGAGACTTTGCTGACATTTCACAATACTTTTCTGACATATCACGAGACTTTGTTGGCATATCACGAGACTTTGTTGGCATTTCACGAGACTTTGCTGGCATTTCACGAGACTTTGCTGGCATTTCACGAGACTTTGCTGGCATTTCACGAGACTTTGCTGACATCTCACGAGATTTGGCTGGCATCTCACACGATCGCCGCTTATGGCTTCCTTATGGACTCTAGTCTCCTTTAAGCCGGGAGTTTTAAAAAGTCTTCTGTAAAATTTGAACCCAATATTCCATTTTTTCAATCTGTTCATATGAATTAAACCACATAAAATTTCTCACTCAATTTCTTTTTTACGGCCAACGCATTTGTATTTTTTAAAGGGCTTAATAAGTTCTCTTAAAATTGTATCCTAACAAATCCCATGATCGCCCTGAAGAGAATCTAAAATTTATAAATCTGCGCGGATTTTTTGTAAAACGTGTGTTCAATAGTGGACATTATACTTCACCAACAAAAAAAATAATGAAAGACGATTTTTAAAAAAAATATTGCAAATGATTTTTTTCCTCTTCTGCTAACTGTTCATATCCGCTCAGCAATAACCATTTGTGCCATCTTAAGTTCGTCTCGAAAATGGAAATCAAATATGTGGGCTAGCACTTTAAATGAAATTTAAATGTGCATTACGGTCAGATTGGGAATAATCACGGTACTTTTGGGACAATGGATGCCAGCCTGACATTAGCAGGCATTGAACTCAAAATGTTGGATGTCTTGATCACACGGTGCATTGTGTAGACAGGCAGGTGGTGGTGTGGTCATGTGGCTGATGGTGTGGTCATGTGGTTGATGGTGTGGTCATGTGGTTGATGGTGTGGTCATGTGGTTGATGGTGTGGTCATGTGGCTGATGGTGTGGTTGATGGAGTGGTTATGTGGCTGATGGCGTGGTCGTGTGGCTGATGTTGTGGTCATGTGGCTGATGGTGTGGTTGATGGAGTGGTCATGTGGTTGATGGTGTGGTTATGTGGCTGATGGTGTGGTTGATGTTGTGGTCATGTGGCTCATGGTATGGTTATGTGGTTGATGGTGTGGTCATGTGGTTGATGGTGTGGTCATGTGGCTGATGGCGTGGTCGTGTGGCGGATGGTGTGGTCGTGTGGCTGATGTTGTGGTCATGTGGCTGATGTTGTGGTCATGTGGCTGATGGTGTGGTAATGTGGTTGATGGTGTGGTCATGTGGTTGATGGTGTGGTCATGTGGCTGATGGTGTGGTTGATGAAGTGGTCATGTGGTTGATGGTGTGGTCATGTGGTTGATGGTGTGGTCATGTGGCTGATGGTGTGGTTGATGGTGTGGTCATGTGGCTGATGGTGTGGTCATGTGGCTGATGGTGTGGTCATGTGGCTGATGTTGTGGTCATGTGGCTGATGGTGTGGTCGTGTGGCTGATGGTGTGGTCATGTGGTTGATGTTGTGGTCATGTGGCTCATGGTGTGGTTATGTGGTTGATGGTGTGGTCATGTGGTTGATGGTGTGGTCATGTGGTTGATGGTGTGGTCATGCGGTTGATGGTGTGGTCATGTGGCTGATGGTGTGGTTGATGGAGTGGTCATGTGGCTGATGGCGTGGTCGTGTGGCTGATGTTGTGGTCATGTGGCTGATGGTGTGGTTGATGGAGTGGTCATGTGGTTGATGGTGTGATTATGCGGCTGATGGTGTGGTTGATGTTGTGGTCATGTGGCTCATGGTGTGGTTATGTGGTTGATGGTGTGGTCATGTGGTTGATGGTGTGGTCATGTGGCTGATGGTGTGGTCGTGTGGCTGATGGTGTGGTCGTGTGGCTGATGTTGTGGTCATGTGGCTGATGTTGTGGTCATGTGGCTGATGGTGTGGTCATGTGGTTGATGGTGTGGTCATGTGGTTGATGGTGTGGTCATGTGGCTGATGGTGTGGTTGATGGAGTGGTCATGTGGTTGATGGTGTGGTCATGTGGTTGATGGTGTGGTCATATGGCTGATGGTGTGGTTGATGGTGTGGTCATGTGGCTGATGGTGTGGTCATGTGGCTGATGTTGTGGTCATGTGGCCGATGGTGTGGTCGTGTGGCTGATGGTGTGGTCATGTGGTTGATGTTGTGGTCATGTGGCTGATGGTGTGGTCATGTGGTTGATGGAGTGGTCATGTGGTTGATGGTGTGGTCATGTGGTTGATGGTGTGGTCATGTGGCTGATGGTGTGGTTGAAGGAGTGGTCATGTGGCTGATGGTGTGGTCATGTGGCTGATGGTGTGGTTGAAGGAGTGGTCATGTGGCTGATGGTGTGGTCATGTGGCTGATGTTGTGGTCCTGTGGCTGATAGTGTGGTCATGTGGTTGATGGTGTGATCATGTGGTTGATGGTGTGGTCGTGTGGTTGATGGTGTGGTCCGTGGTTGATGGTGTGATCATGTGGCTAGAGCGAAGTGTACGCCTCAAGCACCACCACCACTTCTGTCAGGACACCACGCTTTAATGGCCTGGCATCAGCGTAGCTACAAACTACGTGCTAGACTCGCTTATTTTAGCTGACTTTCATCATCAGAGTAATTAGTCTCATAAAATACTGAGCGCTCATTCTTCTATTGCATGCCGGTCCCTAATGGCGATGTTAAAAAAATAGAATTAATTAAGCGGGATTTTTTTCAAGTCGCTCCTCCTTAATGAAGACTGAGAAATGACATGATGGGAGTTTAAATGTGTGCGACTTTTTGACACCGAGCAATGTTGAAATTGGCGGCCTAAGATGGCGTTTAATCTGGTGGGAATCTTTTCATCTTGTTCTCACACTGGCACGGTCAAACTTGTGCCGTGGCTCGTGTAGCTGGGCCCTAGGCTGGTTTTTTAACGGAATTCTTGAAATCAACCGTGTTCTTCTTTCTTTCATGTTCAGAAAAGGACGAATACTCTCTCAAGAAAAGCCTCTCCTTTTTTGGTTTATTTCCATTTGACCATTCGGGTTTACCTCCCCTACTGCTGTATTAGTCACTTGAGTTGCTTTTAGTGTCACCCATGTACCCGCCCAGTTGAGTGGACTATTGGCTTGAGTTCCCTGTCAATACTTGACTCTTGTCTGCTGTTTTTCTCATGTTGACCTCCTTCCACCAGCACAGATAACATTTTTTGTCCGACACTACGACTAGTTGTGTGGAAGAAGTTGCTAAGTAGCTGTTGCTAAAATTAGAACTTATCCACACACACACACATCTCACCACACACTCTCACCTAACCAACCACCGGCATCTCACCATACACCATGCCCTGCGCGTCCACACACTCGCACCTCACTATCCCACACACCCATACTACCTATCTTCACCTCACCACCCACCCTCACCTAACCACCCCCACCCCCCACGATCCCGCACCTGCCCACACCACCCAAGCCCCAACCTACCCATTGTTTGTGTCATCGTCCAGCCACCTCTGTATGTCCACCGTGTTGCCGTCTGTGATGCTCTGGCCCGTACTGCGGCTCACGGTGTGGCTCTTGAGCCTGCTGGCGGCCTTCTGCTCCTTCCTGGTCACGGCCTGGTAGAGGTCAGCCAATGAGTCGCTGAGGTCCCAGGTTTCCTCATCATTGTGACCCAGACTAAGTCCCACGGACTGGTGGGTCAAACCTGGTCAACCGAAAGTGTAGGCAGCAATGAATGGAAAGCAAAGAAACCCGATTTTTCTGCAACTCATTTATTTCACTCATTGACTGGATATTTTGGTCTGACTTCTCACGGACAATACTTGTCTGGGCAAAGTAGTTGTGTCCCCTTAAATAAACCTTACATAATGTAAGGTTACATATTGTTTACCTCCTGGTTCGTTCGTCCAGAGATGAGGGGTTATTTATAGGGTTGTTCAAGGGAAGAGTATTATCTCCAGCTTTTTAAAAGATAGTTCCGAATGTCTTGGTTTGGAGTTAAAATATTTTCGAATAGAAAATGTATTGAGGTTCAAAACTCATTACAGGATGAACATGATGACTATATGACAAGGTGGGGATGACTTTTTTTTTTCAAAACATCTTTTAATTTCTGTATATGATGGATGCTATAATAAAGGTATGGGTGATTTGGCGCTATAAGTAAGATAGGTATGGGTGATTTGGTGCTATAATAAAGGTGTGGATGATTTGGTGCTATAATAAAGGTGTGGATGATTTGGTGCTTTAATAAAGGTATGGATGATTTGGTGCTATAATAAAGGTATAGTTGATTTGGTGCTATAATAAAGGTATAGTTGATTTGGTGCTATAATAAAGGTATAGTTGATTTGGTGCTATAATAAAGGTGTGGGTGATTTGGTGCTATAATAAAGGTGTGGATGATTTGGTGCTATAATAAAGGTGTGGATGATTTGGTGCTTTAATAAAGGTATGGATGATTTGGTGCTATAATAAAGGTATAGTTGATTTGGTGCTATAATAAAGGTATAGTTGATTTGGTGCTATAATAAAGGTATAGTTGATTTGGTGCTATAATAAAGGTATAGTTGATTTGGTGCTATAATAAAGGTATAGTTGATTTGGTGCTATAATAAAGGTATGGATGATTTGGTGCTATAAGAAAAGTATGGGTGATTTTGTGCTATAAGAAAGGTATGGGTGATTTTGTCATGTTCTGCGGTGGAGCTGGTCACTCCCTTATGTTTGAAGCTAGGTCACCGTGACCTAGATCTGCTGGCAAAAAGCCGTTAAGTCAGTGAAACTGGACCTTGGTTGGATCAATCACAAAATGACACGTGACCTTTGTCCTGTTAACTAGACGAGGCGGTAGTCGAATACCACACGAACGGCGAGATCCGAGTATTGTAATCGTCCTGGCGACACAATTCTCGTCTGTCGATATTGAGGTCAGTGACGTCACGTCTGGGATTGCGGCCATTGCCAGGCTGTCATACAGCCAGCGTTGACCACCACTGGGTATCGTCATGAACGGCTCATCACTGACCGCCAGAGGGCAGACGTGTGCTGGCATGTTCTCAGGGCCCAGTTGGGGTAGAGGGGAGGGGGTGGCTCAAGGTTTTTGTCTGAGGCTAAATGCTACGTCAATTGAGGCCATCATAATTATACTTGTCACTCTTCTTAAAAAGATAGAACTATTGAAATTATTCATTCATTTATTATTTATAAATTTCATTGTTAAAATTAATTTTCCAAAATGTCAAATAAATAATAAAGGTCAAGGAAATGTCCTTCTCCCTGTCTGAAATGTGACGTAAATGTCAGTCGAACAAGCCCCCATCCCCCCTCCCCGATGAACTGGAGACCATCTAATGATGCGAGAGTCTGGAGATTCCCACGAAATTAAACTGGGATCTCATAACACACAAGTCATCAACACGGTCTTTGTAAAAAAAAAATTACATCAATTTGGTATCAACATTTAGTTTGACCAATAGGGTACTGGGAAAGTCACGTGATGCAGTCCTCCATCAACTCCCATAGTAGACTTGAGGTTTACATGAACTGCCGTCAGATATATATGTCAACTCCCATCTCGCCAATACTTATTCTATCCAGATTGATAGGATGAATACATTGACAGCTATCACCCCCCCCCTCCCCGCAACAGACTGATCGGATGAATGAGTTGACGTTTACGGCTAACAATCCCTCCCTCAAACGCAATGTCTGGCTATAAAACTGTGTCTTGGGTAACATACGAAAAGTAGCCTAAACAGATCTACATCAGAAATACGTCAACGTTTTTAAAATTTTACAACTTATGCTTTAAAAAAATAAAACTCACCTTCAAGCTAGTTTAGATCTGAACTCACCTTGGTGCATAAGTTCGCCCACACTCCACCAGGCTTTCAATAACTCAACAAACATTAAACTCACCTTCAAGCTAGTTTAGATCTGAACTCACCTTGGTGCATAAGTTCGCCCACACTCCACCAGGCTTTCCCGCCATGGTACCGCTGACCTGGCAGTTGACCTTGAGCATGGCCTTGACCCACTGGGTGCGGGGGCTTTTGGTCGACATGAATTTCACTGTGGGCTCTGGCGTCTGGGGCAAGCTCAGTCATCCCCACACATTGTGCGCACGCTCGGCTGTAAGGAGGTCGATGGGTTAGTTCGTCCACAGTAACACGGCTAGGGGAACATCTTAAGAGGTTTTAACAGAGGTTTAGCAGTGGGGGAAGTGGAGGCGGTGCCAGCCACCAGTCATTTGAGGGGTAGGTCGCAGCTAGAGACTACATGGACACGTTATAAACACGATAAAGATGGTAACATTTCTCAAGACAATTTACCCTGAGTTTGAAGTAATTCAAGGGATTGGGGCAACACGACGCCCCACCTATCGTGTCTTTACAATAAGTAGGTACCTGTATTATTTTATCTACACAAAAACACTAGATAGGTAGTCTAGAATAGTGCCTATAATAGACCTGATTTTTGTTTACTTTCTCGTATACGAAGTAGGCATATAGAGGAAGTATTGTATTCTTGCAAAAATCGAGATTTTCATAAATCTCAACGTTTTACACCTCCCTGAGTCGGAGAAACTTTGTTTTGCAAATTTGTCTGAATATCTGTGTGTCTGTCTGTTAACACGATAACTTGAGTGCCGTTTCAGTTATGTTGACGACATTTCATATAGGTTTATATCAAATGTACAGTTCTGTATAAATTTTTGAATGATTTTCGGCCACCGGAACTTTACTTCCGGTTTCTGAATAGCTAATAACTTGAGTATCGTTTAAATTAGGTGAACGAAATGTTGCATATAAGTATTACATTTTATGAGCATGTTTCTATCATATTTTAAATGATTTCTGGTAACCTAAAGTGGCAATGTTCTGTATTTTCGTGGGAAAACGCTAATTTGAGTACTGTTTCTGTCAGGAAGACGAAATTGTATATATGAGTATAAAAGTATAAGAACTTATACTTGGGTCATTTTCAATTTTTTAGCGACCTTGTGAGTGACGTGGTACTTTATTTCTGGTTTATAAAATGTTTCAGTTTGGTGGATCATATTTTTTTACTAAGGTATATGATTTTACTCTCTCCATTCTTTCAAACTTGAAGTGATTTCCGGTGACCGGTAATAGTACTTTACGCCATTTCCAATTTCCCAAAAATACGTAAGCAGAGTTTCCTTTATAAAGTAGTAAGGGATCGTCCATAAATGACATCACACTCACAGGGGGAGGGGGGGGGGTCCACAATTTTGTGACGGTGTGACCATCCCCACCCCTACATGGTCTTAGTGAGCTGTGGTTCACGCTGTTTACCTTCGTGGAGTCGGGTTTAGTGACGGCTATTAGTGGCAGATAATTTAGTTTGAAACGATTTTAAACGTTGGGGGGGGGGGGGGGGGAAGCAGGGGGGGGGGGGGGGTTATGGTCCTTAACGAGCTACTTATAGTGTTTTAAAGAAATACTTTCAGTGTCAGCGTTGGTACTGTCGAATTCACAAATTATGAATTACTGAAAAGTAGAAAAAACAACAACTAAATAGCGGCGTATGTTATGCCGTGGGCCGGTTCGTTGATTAAAATACTCTATGTTGACAGAGTTCAGACAAGATTTTGGAAAAATATCGATGTTTTAAGAAAAATTCAACTGCAATTTTGAGGGGGGGGGGGGGTTGTAGGCTGAGGTGTGATGTCGTTTTATGGGGGGGGGGGGGGGTCTGGCTTTTTTGTGACGATGTGTGACGGAGGGGAGGGGGGAAGGTAAAAATCGTCCAAAAAACGTGACGTCATTTATGGATGACCCCTAATTACCCGCTCTATTCTACACACACTGTTTGCGTTAAATTGGTGCGATATTCTCTTTTCTACTTGAGTCTATTCTATTTTTAGAATCTAAGTATTACAAAACTTAATAAAAAACATTTCTAAATCCGGGTCAGAATTGAATTGTCGCCCCCTTTACCGTTATATAAGACCATACGAGAAAGTTTAGGGGAGACTACTCCCGCTTTATTTTCTCTGTACCCAATGTTCTTGAAACCCGAAATGTCTAACGTCGAAATGTCACAGTCTCACAACCTAACAAGGCAAGTTTCCACACATGATCAGCTAATTCTACTTCCTCATTCAGAAACTCGTCGTCTCATCGCTTATTTATCATTTGAATAGCAAAGCAAGATTGAGGCTAACATTATTATGTTTTAAAATAATCGACTTTCCCAAATTTAAAAGGAAGCAGAAATAACGAATTGTGAAAGATTATTTTTTAAAATGTAAAATAAAATTGAAATTTTGAATGATTACGTTTTTTTTATTCCAAATGTGATCGATACTTGTAAAATATGGAAATGTCTTAGGCTTTTCTAGGGCAGCTTGGTTGATTTTTATTGGGTCTTCATTGGAACGTGATGGTTGTTGAGTGGTGATGATTGTTGTGTGGTGATGGTTGTTGTGTGGTGATGGTTGTTGTGTGGTGATGGTTGTTGTGTGGTGATGGTTGTTGTGTGGTGATGGTTGTTGAGTGGTGATGGTTGTTGAGTGGTGATGGTTGTAGGGAGGTGATGTTTATCGGGGGGGGGGGGAAATGATGTTTGTTAGGAGGTGATGTTTGTTGTGATGTAAAGGCTGTTGTGATGTGATGGTTGATGTGATGTGATGACTGTTGTTGTTCTAACAAACTTATATCCAACAAATGTACTATAACCACAACAGAGACTGTTCCAAAGATAGAACATAAAAGGCTGATCTAACCAAATTTGCGCCTGCTACAAACTAGCTTCTCAAATCAGATCAGGCATACTTTTTTCTGACATTACTAATTGTTTTTAAAAGGAAAACGCACCTTAAGGGGAATTTAATTGGCGACGAGTAATGTTTTAAGGAACGAAAATCATACATCGTAATTATTAAATATTTTCCGGACTGTCGTACACACACTTACCAGTGTTTCTTCCAGACTTTTTTCTCCTGGGGGAGGGGGGGGGTACTTGAAATTTTCGGGGGGGGGTAGACTTTCTTCGGGGGGGGGGGGGGCGGACACTGTTAAATGTATATATTTTCTATATATTCCATTTCGTTCGGGGGGGGGGGGGGGCAGTAGACTTTCTACGGCGGGGCTAAGCCCCCCCCCCCCCGAAGAGATGCCTGGAAGAAACTCTGATACTTACGTACACACACTTGCACACACACTTGCACACACACAAACAACATATATATATATATATATATATATATATATATATATATATATATATATATATATATATATATATATATATATATATATATATATATATATATATATATATATATACACGGGGGGGGGGGCGCCAAATTGAAAATTCGCCCCGGGTGCCGGGTGGAGTCGCTACGCCTCTGGTAAACATCAGTTGAAATGTGTTCACGTATTCGTACATGGTGACAGAACCTTTTTAGAACCATCCTGGTATATTAAAACCTCTCTCTAGATTCCCATCATTTAAACATTAATTGGGAATAATCGATTAAAAACAAAATACAATTTTATGCATTAAAAAGCAGGCAATAGAGCAATTAAAAATACGGATTTCTCTTGAAGCGAAAACGCGTCAATGTAGCACACGCCGATATCAGTGTCAATGGTGTCATAATGTCACTGTCCACCTTGTGTCATAATGTCACTGTCCACCTTGTGTCATAATGTCACTGTCCACCTTGTGTCATAATGCCACTGTCCACCTTGTGTCATAATGTCACTGTCCACCTTGTGTCATAATGCCACAGTCCACCTTGTGTCATAATGTCACTACCTTGTGTTTAAAATGTCACTGTCCACCTTATGTCATAATGTCCATACCTTGTGTTTAAAATGTCACTGTCCACCTTGTGTCATAATGTCACTGTCCACCTTGTGTCATAATGTCACTGTCCACCTTGTGTCATAATGTCAGTGTCCACCTTGTTTTTAAATTGTCACATTCCACCTGGTGTCATAATGTCACTGTCCACCTTGTGTCATAATGCCACTGTCCACCTTGTGTCATAATGTCACTGTCCACCTTGTGTCATAATGTCACTGTCCACCTTGTTTTTAAATTGTCACATTCCACCTGGTGTCATAATGTCACTGTCCACCTTGTGTCATAATGTCACTGTCCACCTTGTGTCATAATGCCACTGTCCACCTTGTGTCATAATGTCACTGTCCACCTTGTGTCATAATGCCACAGTCCACCTTGTGTCATAATGTCACTACCTTGTGTTTAAAATGTCACTGTCCACCTTATGTCATAATGTCCATACCTTGTGTTTAAAATGTCACTGTCCACCTTGTGTCATAATGTCACTGTCCACCTTGTGTCATAATGTCACTGTCCACCTTGTGTCATAATGTCAGTGTCCACCTTGTTTTTAAATTGTCACATTCCACCTGGTGTCATAATGTCACTGTCCACCTTGTGTCATAATGCCACTGTCCACCTTGTGTCATAATGTCACTGTCCACCTTGTGTCATAATGTCACTGTCCACCTTGTTTTTAAATTGTCACATTCCACCTGGTGTCATAATGTCACTGTCCACCTTGTGTCATAATGTCACTGTCCACCTTGTGTCATAATGTCACTGTCCACCTGGTGTCATAATGTCACTGTCCACCTTGTTTTTAAATTGTCACATTCCACCTGGTGTCATAATGCCACTGTCCACCTTGTGTCATAATGTCACTGTCCACCTTGTGTCATAATGCCACTGTCCACCTTGTGTCATAATGCCACTGTCCACCTTGTTTTTAAATTGTCACATTCCACCTAGTGTCATAATGTCACTGTCCACCTTGTGTCATAATGTCACTGTCCACCTTGTGTCATGTCACTGTCCACCTTGTGTCATAATGCCACTGTCCACCTGGTGTCATAATGTCACTGTCCACCTTGAGTCATAATGCCACTGTCCACCTGGTGTCATAATGCCACTGTCCACCTTGTGTCATAATGTCACTGTCCACCTGGTGTCATAATGTCACTGTCAATCTTGTGTCATAATGTCACTGTCCACCTTGTGTCATAATGCCACTGTCCACCTGGTGTCATAATGTCACTGTCCACCTTGAGTCATAATGCCACTGTCCACCTGGTGTCATAATGTCACTGTCC